AAAAAAAAAAAATATATATATATATATATATATATATATATATATTTATATATTTATCACAAAATATTTTATAAAAAGGACTACTGCGTAACTTTATATCCTCTGGAATGTTTAGGTAAGTCTAAATCTCAGTCAAGGTGCTGATCATATCCCAGCTGTTGGCTCTCTTGCAGCTGAAGACATGAGTTGTGACATGTTGTGATTGTCCATCCAGAGCAGCAGCTGTTGTCAGCGGTGGACTGATTCCTGTTTTCTGAATGTTTTGTGTTTGTCTGCGTTTGACTCCAAATGAGTGAATCAAATCATCTCCTTTCTCATGTGCTTCTTCTGATGTGTGTCTAGACAGGCTTGATGATGCAGCATGTGTTTTACAACCGTGGGTTTGTCTTGTCACTTTCTGCTCAACCTGGGAGTGTCTATCTACATCCACAAATAGTTGAACTTACATTGAAGTGAATTCAACTATTTGTCATACATGAACGGTCGAGGTTTAGATCATTCCTCCACATTATTATTACAATTACAAATAAATCATCATCCGCACATACAGTAAAGGACAATTCTAAAATGATACTAAGTTGAAAACTAATACTTCCTCTCAGTATTAATGTTAAATGCTTTATTTTCCTGACATTGGTCTCAAGGTCCCCTCTTGAATGAGATGTAAATCCTGATGAAATGTGCATGTACACAGTCTACATGTACGTTATTTCACACAGACACTCCCAGGCTCCGTCACTGTCTGTCTGTGCTTTTCATGTCTGCGACGTAGAGAGCCGCGGCTCCGAACCAGCTGCTTCAGCACAAGGCCCCGCTCTCCCAGCCTCCGCCCTCCCAGCCGCAAGCCAAGCCCCGGCCTCTGGCTCAGCATCAGCAGCCCTCGGCGGGCCGGAGATCCCACCGCACGCTGCCCAAGGACCAAACCCAGCTCCTGTCGCTACAGCACGACCACAGGCACAGGGAGAGAGAGAGGCAGAGGCAGAGGGAGAAGCCCGTGGCAGCCGTCCAGAAGCTAACGGCTAACAGTGGGAGCACGGCTGCTGCTGCTGCTGCCGCTGCCGCTGCTGCCTCTGCTGCCTCTTCCTCGCCCAGCCGCCCCACAAACAGCCAGCGCTCAGCGGTAAAACCCTGCCTTCCTCAGCTGTCTAGCCTCCATCACCTCTACACCCCACATCTCTCAGTCTGTCTCTCTGTCCCTCACTTTCATGGAGTTTGACAGTTTATTCTTTGATTCCATTTCTCACATTTTTATTTTTACAGATTTTTTTCTTGGTAAGTTATTGCCATGAAGTTTTGACAGTTTTTTTCAGCTTCATGTGTTGTGTTTTTTGTTTTGTTTTTCATGCCTATGCATGGTGGCATATGCAGACTATTTGTACAAAAATGTGGTTCTGACATGTGGTTCAGCGTCGTAGCTTCTATTCTTAGCATGGTGGCTAAACCACACAGGAAACAGACCAAAGGTGCCATTTCTAGAAGAAGACATTTTTAAACAGCCAGTCAGATGGCTGACTAAGGTCTACAAAAAAAAACTGTTTTTATTCTGTAATGTTTTTTTATGTGACGATTAGTGGCCCTTTTGTCATGTCCGGGTCAGTACAGTATGTGTACTGCTTCTTAAAAATGGTATAAAGAATGTCCCTGAACTTTGACCTCAAATAATTTAGAGTTCGTATGAAGTAGTTGAAAGTAACAGTTCTTAAGTGTGATTGTAAAGCGCTGACTGCAGTGACTCCAAAGTAAAATGTGGTCTGCAATCATGTACCCACAACAAAGCACTGAATCAGCCAATAGCAGGCCTCCAGAGATGATGTGTCATGGTCCACATCACAGCTTCATTTTCCCTTTGTCATGATCATTCATTGTATCCCACAATATATACACTTTTATATGTGAAGTGCATTTATGTATATATGTGTAGTATAGAAAAATACATCTCAGTGTGACCACCTGATTGAATAGTCCACACACACACACACACACACACACACACACACACATATAGGTCTTACATGTGTTTATGTTTTTAGATGGACCTCCAAGAATCGAGCCTAGCCAGGCTGCTTTTGGCTGCCGGTGTGCCCAGCCAGATGCACTCCAGGCTGGGCTCTGGGAGCAGCTCTAGTCCTTGTACTCCAGCCATGCAGAGAGCTCACTTCAACCAGGTACACACTGCTCTCCTCCTCTTCTCTTTCTTATACTTTGAGCACTGTTGTTGGGATATTTTCATGCACATGATCTTAAACTTTGGTGATGTGTCTAAAAGTGATCATGTATAAATACAATTTAAAAGTAACAAATGGCCATGGCTCTACCACTTGTTTTTCCCCAGAATGCCAATCTTCGCTCGAGTCGAGATGCCCCTCACAGCAGCTCTATGTCAGACATGGCCATCTCCCCGTTGTCCCCGTTTTGCCCCACGTCCCCGACTGATGATGTCTTCTGGGACCCCGGGACGCCACCGAAGGTGAGCGACGAGTGTCCTATACGCTGCCGGATGACACTGAAAGTTTACACGCCAGCCGTGGTGACTTACAGGAACCTTGGAGCGACCAAAAGGGGAAGATGTTGTTATGGTCATGCCAGGCGGCGGGTGCAGTCACATGAGGTTGGCATTATGTGTCGGCGTGTGCTAAGCTAAGGAAGTAGGGCACGCAGCACGAGGTTCAGGCTGGCACGCTGTGGGTGTGTGTTTGAGGAGCAGAGGGGTTGGGCTTTACCTCAAGGCTGGTTGGGAAACACAACATTCACTCGGTGTCTCTTTCTGTCTAATACCGCCGCTCCCCCGCTAGGCGTTTTACATGCACAATATGCTGTTAGGCGTATAAACACATGGAGCCGATAGAACAACTAACAAGTACTACACAGAGAGGAGGAGAGCCCAATAAATCGGTCTGTTTGCCGTGTCATGTTGTGGCTCTAACAGGAGGCCATATGGAGGCGGTAGAGCAGTTAATAACTCTGCCCTCCCTCATGTGATCGCAGTGTGGTGGCTGGATCTGCTAATAAACACCACTAACTTTTCGGGCACCTACACCACGATAGGGTTCGCCAGTAACGTGCTCCAGAGATCCAGGCATTGTAATGACGTACAACTGTCTGAATTCAAATGTTCTCACATGAGCTTAAAGAGTCTTAAACTCAAATAACTACTTATTAGACTAAATGCTCTTATTTTGAATTATGTCGCAATAGCAGACAGGAAACGACAGACACCGACTGCGTGCGTGCGTGCGTGCGTGCGTGTGTGGAGCCAGATGCAGGATGTGGGCAACTTGTCAGAAGGATGATAGGTATTCCCACAGTTCCTGCTCTGCTGGGTGTGTCTTCCTCCTCCATAACCGGGCCGATTGATCCCAGGAGACGAGAGGTCAAAGGGTCACCAGCTGGTTGGTACGACTGAGAGTTTGAGGAGAATGAAATGTTGAAAGATCCCGTTTGAAAAGGCAGTACTTTACACACTTTGATCCGGTAACCGATTTTGCAACGCTGTTCTTGTCATATAGAAAGGTTTGGAAATATCCCTGAGTCAGATAGTGTTTCCCCACCGCGTGGGAGATTTGGACATTTCCAGTTTAAAAGGAGCAACATTGAAATGTGAAGAAACGGTTAATCCAAATGGTCTCATTAGATTCTCAGTAATAAATATGTCCCGGTGGCTTATTATAGAATTTTACTGCACTCTGCTCGACACCCTTTCAGGCACTTTCGCGGTTGCTGTACATAGAAGGTTCATAAACCGCAGCAGCCTTCCCATCATAAGCTGAAACCCCTGCCTGGCTAGACGTAAGATCCTTGTAAAAACGAGAGCCCTCCCAAACCTACGCAGAGTGAAACAAGCGATCAGGACCACCAGGACACTGACTTATGTGTTTGTGTTGAGTCTTGTTTTAATTGACTCTTCTTCTGCTCTTTGTCCAGGTCCCAGAGCGCACCACCTCTAAGTTCTACTGTCGAGAGCTGGTGATGGGACACAAGAGGGCCGCCTCCAGGTAGAGCACAGCTGCACTGACTGCACAGTAAACACGCAACCGTGACATGGACATACTGTGTGTGTCCTTATGAAGGTCGGCCTGTGTTTGGTCTGAACGTGAGCCGATGACCTAATGTCCCTTTAAGAAGTTATAGAATCTATATTTTATGTTGACGCTGGCTCAGACTGAACCATCAGCCAACTCTGTGGTCGCTCTTAGCTCTACGGACTCTTTTTAGCACATTGCAGACCATTGTTTTGGTTCTACAGTCCACAACTTCACTGTTTTTGTTCATTCTCACAGCTTACAACAATCCTGTTTCTGAATGCAGTAATCAGCTCTTTTAAACAAATGACAGACAGACAAGGTTAGCACCTAGCTAGTGAACGTAGTGAAGCATTTAGTAGCTCAGGAGTTTGTGGAGACCAAAACAGAGCTGAAAGTATTGCCACAGGCCTACCGATAGGTATATAGCCAAGTGTTTGCTAACATGTTAGCCATGACGGCTTAATGCAGTGTCAATATGGCTCTGTTTAGAGGTTGAAAATATCACTTAATACCCTTTAAACACCAAGCTTTGTTTCTAGCTAGTCATTCGTTTAGCCATTGCTCTGTTTTTAACAAACTGCGTAAAGGAAAGAAATCAACCTAGTTCATGACAAATGGAGGACATAATAACCGGTCAGCTTTAAACTAATCCCATAGGTTCACTTACAACATGTACTCCACTCCTCCATCTAAATGATGTGTTAAAATAAGGCAGTACGTGACCTACCTGCAAAGTAGAGTTATACCACTGAGGTGTTTTACCCTCACGCCAGTGTTGCTGTAGTATCAGCTGACCAAATATGTGGTCATTGCTTAGCAGCATGAAGAATACAATGCATCCGTCTGTCCTTCAGTTGGATACAAGGGAAGTCTTAGTCTCAAGTAGAATGTGAATAAGCATTCTTTATTCCCAATGTATTTGGTATTGCAGCCATGCTGTGAGCAGGGCAGTTCTTTACCCCACAGTTATCCTGTCAGCTAGAGTCAACCTACTTCATAGTGAGGGTTTATAACTCCACAGTTCAGCATGCTGCCTTCCACTATTAGAGAACAATCGGTCATGGGAGGATCTGATTAGTTAAGCTCGGGTGATTATTTTCGTTTAGATGAAACTAATGGCGAGGAAATTGGGTCACTGCATTGGCAGCGTGAAGGATATACTGAAGATTAGAACATATAGAAGTGTATAATGTACAATCCACCCTCTGTACGTGTGTCTCTTTCTCCATCTAGTGGCAGTCCAGTGTCTGTGGCCGATAAGAGCGGACGGTCTGTGTCTCATGGAGTGTCCTCTGGCAGCAGCAACCAAGGTCTGTGCCAACCGCTGAGCTCAGCCTCACGCTGCTACCAGCTGTATGAGCAATACAATACAGCTTCATCAAATCTGCTCCTTGGTAGAAAATGAGCAGTTCTGTCTGAAAACGACCGCTTGGGTTCCTACATGACAAGAATTAGACTTCGTTGTTCTGACCTCAGAATTGAACTCTCAGTGTGCATTGATGTACAGCAGCCCTGAGAAGCAAGTGAGAGAGAAACAATGTGGTGATCCATTCTCTAAGTCTGATCTGAATAGTTTTCTCTCCTCTGTTTACGACCTAAGAACAGGTGAAGAAAGGGTTCTGCCAGGATGATCTTTTTAGGTTTCCTAAATAAAGAAATATCTGTTGAACAAGTGGTGGAAAGTGTAGCCAGTTGAAAAAATCTGTGTGAAACCGGTGGGGAAGGTTTGCCAGGTGAAAAAAAACTTTTTTTGTGTGTTTTGTCTTGTAATTCTTATTTCGGCTACAAGAGGCTGAGGCCCATGTTCTAAACAGGACTAACACATAAATTTTTCTTCTTTAAATAACCTGCTAACACATCAACATATATGTACCTTGTGTTTAGAGTGCATGGAGAAATTACAACTCACCTGGAAGAAAATGCTTTCAGTCCTATTTAGAACACGAAGAAGTGGTGTACCTCAGCCTCTTGTGGCCGAAATGGGTATTAAAGCAAAATGCTTAAAAAATGTATGAGAATGAAAGAAATATTTACCTTTAAAAACTTTTTTCAACTTGTTCTTAAGTCTTAGACACAGGAGAGAAAACTATTTACATCAGACTCTTTTTCTCACAGCATATACGGTTTGCTCTTCTATGATTAAAGACTGAAGTAATAAAGTAATAACGACAAACGTTGTGGAAAATGAAACACAGTTTCATTTCAGCTCAGCTCTTGTTTTCACACAGATGTGTCCCTGGGGTGAACTAATTCTGTGTATATGGGAGGTTGTCATGTGTGTGTGTGTGTGTGTGTGTGTGTGTGTGTGTGTGTGTGTGTGT